ACTGCTGGCCCCTTCCCCCACCAAGTCTCCCTGCTGCTGCCTACACAACAACTGCCACTTTATCCTCCCCCTCCACTCCCCTGCCTTACAGACCCCTTGTCTGCTCTCCCCACCCACCCTCAATTCACACCCACCCTAGCTCCACCCCTCCGCCCTGGCTCCCTACAATGCATGCCTCCTCGCCACAGCACTGCAGGAACCCCGCCCCCCCCGCCCCCGCGCGCCCGCCGCATCCCCTCACCACCTTGTGCACCCCATCCCCCTACACCGTGCTGCTTCGTCCGCCTGACCTGCTTGAGAAGACCCAGCCTGAAACAGCACTCCCACTCGCCGCAAAGCTGCAGGCCCCGATGGCCTGCGTCACTTGTCCCAGCGGTGCGCTTATAAAGCCTGTGCCCCCCCAGCTGTGTGGAGTAAAACTCTAGCCAAGTCTCTGCCAGCCCCGTGAGCCTGCACCCCTCCCCAGAGAGTCCCCGTGCTGTGGAAGATGGTCCCTGCCTCCCATTCCTGTGCGCAAAAAGACGCGGCAGCAGAACCTAACGACTGTATCAAACCTATTGAAAAATAGGTTCAGTTCATTGGCCCGGTCCACATGACCCTCCAACCCCATGCCACCAGTCTTCTGGAACCCAGTGATGGTTCTCATGCCACTCCAACTCTACAATATCTACAATATAGGGGCTGTTCCACCAAATCTGTGCCTTTTTTCCATCTCCAGGACATCACATGCATAAATATGCATGAAAATTAACTGTATAATACATTATATTATTAAAACTGTCTTGCACTTTGTTTAAATTGCAATTAAAGGAAACATCCTTTAAAAAATTAATAACTACCTACAACACTGAAAAAATAAGATTTTAACCTCTGTAACTCAACTCAACATGTAATATAATGATTAAAAATCCTTCAGAAAGCTTTTATTTTTATTTTGTGTGACTCTTATTTCTGATTTACACGTAAAATGAAATATTTCATTGAAAACTCATAATATATTAGTTTAAATACACACATTTTAGTCGTTTCTCCAGGTGTTTTACTCAGTCCTGTTACTATAACAAAAGAAATTGGGGCATTTCACATTATCAATAAGAAGTAGCAGCATTTGAGTCTTCTGAACACCAAACTCAACGTTCAGTCCTGATACCTACATTATTTCTTACATGTGATGTTAAGATAGTTTTGTTAAATACAGAAAAACTGATTAATTTACATTTTTATCACCTGTTTGTTCACTTTTACCACCAATTCCCCCAGCTGTCTGCCTGTTAACTAGGAGCAGGATGGGGGGGGGGATAATAGCACCTCCAGTATTTATTGACAGCTCACTGGAGGTGTGTGTGTGTGTGTGTGTGGGGGGGGCAGTCCTCAGTGTATTTGAAGGAGGAGGTCATGAACTCCTCAAGGCTTCTTGGAAAGGCTCTCTGCCCTTTGGACCCACAGCTGATAAAAGGGCAGTCAGTCCTTGTCAGGGCAACAGGTGATGAAGTGGGGGGATTTTAACTGCACTGTTCAGCCATGGTAAGTTGTGTATAACTTAATACTTAATACCTAAATATACTGAAGAGGTCAGCTTGTTTCCAGCTAACTGTTTGGACTATTATAGCTCATGATGCTTCTTATTTAACACTGCTTATTAACTGTTGTTAGCATACAGCTAATGCAAGCTAATTTATCTGACTCAAGTTAGGTTTGTAAACAGTTTTACTCGCCTTTGTAATTAAATATCGTCTCCAGCACACACTATAATTGAGTTATGTATTAATTCTGCAGCGTACCACATTCATGAAGTATTTAGTGGAGATAATCAGTGCTTTATTGACTTTATTGTGACCTTATCTTGGCTAGCTAAATAAAAGTTTAGCTATGATACTGGTACTTTGAAACTTAATACTTAAACTCCACAGCATCTCAGAGGGAAAATGTATGTCTTATACAAGATATTCAACTCTTATTTGATTGTCAGTCAAAGTTACCACCAGACAATAATTTGATAAACATGATAAAATTGCATTGCATCCAGGTTAGTCAACAAAAACAATGTCACTCCTGTGAATCTGCAGTTAGTCAAGACACCATGTTTCTGTGGTAGAAATTGAGATGAATGCCATATACAATGTAATATTTTGTATATGTTGGCTGACAGATATTGCAGTATGATTCACAATTAGTGTGAGAATGATCTTTTTTGCATCACAAATTTAATTTTAAAAGGAATAAAAAACTATTAAAATCTAATAACAAACATGTTTTCTTTAATATAATAATGATAACAAGAGTTGTAGACCAGGTTATCTATGCAGCACACCTGTATTTATATTATAATGCTATTTGTCACATATTTTACATTTATTGAAATAATTGCAGCTTCTGCGATTTGGATATTTTGATTTTGATAATGTTTTGATTAATTGTGCAGCCTTTTGGCAAGAATTACTTATGTGGGTTCATTTTGGTAAGACTTGTGTGATCTGTTTCAATCTGTGCTGCCCGATTTCTTCCCTGAACATTCATTTCATTGGTCAATTTATTTGATGTTAATGATTGTATTTTACCTGCTCATTTTAAGTTCAGGGTTCACTAACTTTTGCCCCTACAAAAGTCTTTTCACTACACAGTTGATTTCCTCAAAAAAGTAAAAGGAAATGATAAACATACAAATGTTGTTTCATATAAAACATATTGGTTTTGTTTAATGAAGAAACAATGATAAAAGAATAGAAAACTGCAAAAAAAGTTCAGTAACGGAGTAATCTAATTAATTACTTTTCCCATCGTTGCAACGCCGTTACCGTTACTGAGAATGATTTTTAAAGTAAGATGCCCAACACCGGTCCCCTACCTTTTGGTAACATGTGTGCACAGACGGACCGAAAACAGTGAAATGAGCAAACGCAGCAAAGCGAAAGTAATAAGAGGAAGAGACAGAAGATGTCGAAGGTGTGGTGACCGAGATCCGAATGTTTCCAACAGGTGCCTGACAATTGGACGAGTTTTGGATACCCATGGCAGGTCCCGCCTCAAGGGTAGTCTGGAAAAGAACCTTCGTAAAAAAATAATACACTTGTCTGAGTCTGCCGCCGCTTTGCCTTATAACGATGTACCTAGTTGCTTTGCCATCTGGTTGATTCCCAGTAAGCACAAGTAACCAGCCCCGCCAAATAAAAACGTAACAAATATATCTTATTTAAATGCATCTGGTCACCCCTAGTCGATATTATTAAGTGATCTGTCTTGTTTTTCTTATACAATTCAATATGTTGTCTAAATAATTACCAAGGATGCTTATAATAGAGAACTGCCTCACATGTTTGCCCACCTCTCTAATTACGGAATAATATTAACACCCACTAACTACATGAATATATGTAGAAATACCCATATAGAGCAAAGTAAGTGCTCTGAGTGGATTTCATTTGTGGCAGCACTAGTGCGCTGTATTGTCTATAAAGTAATAGTTATTGTAAAAACACTGTGCAGCTACTTCGGCTCCACTCCAGAACCTTGTTTAGTGTTTACACAGCCTTACCCAGGGAGGGAGCACACCAACTCCCGGCCATGTGTACTAATCTCAGGAAGGGGATGTGTGTATGTTTCCTACCAACAATGCTCTGCTCAGTAAGGCCATTGTTAAATTTGTCTGGGCAACGGAGCACAGGGGGGCAAGCCAGACCTTGAAAGATCAGGGGAAGCATGAAGAAAAGACTGCTCTGAAGTTGAATGCGAAGTTATATCTCACATCCCGAGTGCAGTTCAGGTTTTTTTTTTTATTTGGACGGGGCGGGATCTACGGTTAGCTCCCTGGGTCCAGCATGTAGGCTGCTGCCGGCACTGCAATGAGCTTCACTGAGAAGGTCACTGATTTCAATTTTTTCAGGAATAGTGTGTTTTCTTGCTGGAGGATGAGTTTGATAATACAGTTGAGATTTTAGAAGAAGAAGCTCCGGGATCTGTTTACTGGAAGTAAATATACTCTTTTCTCATTCCAGTCACGAAAGTCTTGGATTGAGGAAACCTTCTTCAAGAGAGAGTGTGTGAAGTTCATCCCCTCCTCTCGGGATCTACACAGGTAAAACTGGAACCTGATTGCATTGATGAGCTTCCAGAAGCTGTACATGTACAAGTTTTTTTTACGATTCTCAGAAGAAATACAGGGTAGTTTAGTTAGTGCATAGTATAATATTAACAGCAGTGGTTGGAAACAACATTTTTCCGAGAGCAAAACTATTTGGCACTGGGCCCTTCCTTCCAGGAATAGAGAGCATGTGGATTCTTTGATAATGTGTTATTTCCTGTTTCTTACAGATGCACGCCAGTATGTCAAGTCTGCCAAAACCTGATCAGGTATAATTTATGAATTCTGTGTTGATGTGTGTGTCTTGATACCCTCCCGAAACCCACTGCATCCCCCTCCTACACCCTCACCCCCACCCATTCCAGTCAAAGCTGGCGTTTTTATTATTATGTCAACGTTTGTGTCACTTTTTCCCACACTCCTTAGTTCACATCCTCCCCCTTTTGCTCTCTCATTGTTTCTCTCCTGTCTCTCCTAGTTTAGAAATGAACTAATTATTTCATGTGTCACAGCCTGACTCAAGGAGAGTAATAAATCCAAGGTCTTTTTATACAGAGAGAGATGTGTGTGGATTTTATAGGGCTGTGAAATGATGAACACAATCACACACACAGACATGTAGACCCAAGGACAAAGGGAGGTAAAGAGGAAGGGAGGAATACAGGAAAAGGGGAGAGTTGATGTAGCCTGTCTTAAAGGCCCAGTGTGTA